CCCCTCACCCGCCCGGCGCGCGGGGCCGCAGCAGGCCCTGGCACCGCGCGGGCGCTGAGGGGGCAGCTGGGCTCACCGCCCCGCCACACCGAGCCTGGATCTGCCTGCCCCAACACGCCCCTTCATTGCCCAGAACGGGTTCTGCTGCCTTCCCGTGCCCGCTCAGGGTGAGCTGCCCAGCGAGGGCACCGTGGCCACCCAGGTGAGCGGACCGCATGCTGCGGTGCCCTTCCCACGCGCAGCCGTGCGCGCGATTGCGGATTAAACACTGAAATGCGGCCTCTTAGGCACATTCTGAGGCACCTCCGCAGCCCCCTCCACCAGCACCCTATGGGAGAGGAGCAGAGTGAGGCTTCCAGGAATTCCTTACAAACTTATCCCCAAGAATGTTTTCAGCGCTCTTATGCCAAGTGACGTTCTGAAGCGCCGATGTTGCTGCTAATCCTCGGTTAGGTGCAAGGCTAATGCTCACATTTCGTGGGAAATGAGCTCAAGCTGGAAACATTAGCTTGCTTCATTGCATCTGATCCTCTAAACTCCTCATTCCCTGAATCCACGTTGCCTAAAGCATGACTGACGTTGTAGTATACAAGAGACAGGATAAGGTGAAAAGTGGATGAATATTTTTCTTCTGCAATAAAATGGATTGAATTGATAAAATATTGTGTGCCCGCTACTAGAAGATGAACACCATCCCTGACCCCAAAATATTCTGGAACAACAAACTGCAGCAATTGCTATTGCTATTTCTGATTCTCCTGTGACTGAGAATGCTTTTTACTGTAAGGGTCAGGATTTTGGGGGTGACCTCTAACTTTCAGAGAACAAGCTCACTGTGCTTGCTGAAAGCAGAGCCAAAAAAAAAAAAAAAAAAAAAAGGCCAGAAAAAGGCAAGCTGTAGCTGCTGTTTCTTCTCCTGCTTTAGAGGAGGAAATAAATCATTTTGCTCCTGAAAGATTTAAGGATTTTCTTCTGAATCCCATTTTCCAAAAGCAACAGGAGTTTGCAGAGCACTGGCTGGATTGCTGGGGTCTCTTTCCCTTACAAAGGGCACCAGAAAGGTAAGCAGCCTCCTTGCCATTGCTGGAATTTCTTCTGCAAAGCTTAAGGTTATCATTTGTCCACACTTAAAAAGTCTGCACAGGTTTCTGCTATCTGCTGTTTCATTTCAATTCAGACTTTTTTTTTTGATGTCTCGCTTGTCTTTCACCGTTTAAATTACGTACGAGCTGGTTCTGATGAGAATGAGTTCCCTGGAGTAGCACAGAGCTTGCTCTGTAGTTAGGAAACTTAGTCATGTGGCTTTAGGATTTGGAGGTTTTACTCCGTGTTCAAGCTCTAATTCCCTTCCACAGGCGCTGCCTCACTGTGCACAGCTGAAGCAAAACCCAGAGTTTTGATTTTAGTGCAGACTGAAGTCCACTTACCTTGCTGAGAAGTTAAGCAATTGCTACACTCATGCCCTCCTTGCAAAGGGCATCCCTGGAGAGAGCAACAAATAGCTTCCCCCCAGCTTCCCAGCACGAGGAAGCGTGCGATACGTATCCGCACGCTTGCCCCGCTGCAGAAATACCCGCAGCCACGGGGGGCTTTGGCCCCAGCGGGGCTCCTGGCTGCCTGGTCTGGGCTGTCGCACTCCGAGTGGGTGTCTGCAAAGCTAAGATAAGTCAACTAGGAGAGCAGATTTATTGCGCCATGCTCTTGGGCTGTGGCCCAGATAAAGTCCAAGTCCTTAATGGTAAAACAAGACAAAAAATAAATTCTTCGGGGTTCGTGAAGGAGGGAGAAGGGAAGCACATGCTAGTCAGGTTGCTGACTGTCCTGTTCTGCCCCCAGCTAGGACGTGCCCCAGCTCTAGGGGCTGTGGAAGCACTGAGCTGCTGGAGCTCCTTTCTCAAGGGAGAACTAAGATGTGTCCTTGCTACCACCTAAAGCAAGAGGAGGTGGGGCGGTCTGGGGGGCTGGCTCCACCTGAGAGCAATAGAGGACACAGGGTGTGAAGCCAATGCCAGTGAGGCAACAGGGAGAGGTATATTGGGATCAGCTGTCCTCCGATTGACTTCAGGTGCTCCCTTCCTGGGGTGTGGGGTTAGTACTTAAGTATGTCTGTACAAGGTACAGCAAGGGTTTTGCTCTGAGCTTGCTAGGTGGTTTTTGAGGTGTTAATTTTTTTATTATTATTATTATTTTTAATTTCTCTTTCTTCCTCCAATGATGTTAGCAGACAAGGTTTGGATATTGGGAGGAAAAAAAAACAGGTAAGTTTACCAGAATGTAAGGCAAATATGAGTTGTTGGTAGGATCAGAAGCTTGGCTGGGATCTGGCCTCAGGTGAAATAAAGATATGGGGATGAGATGCTGAGTCTGTGACTAGCTCTTAACAGCAAAAGCAGTTTTTATGCAGACTAGACCCTATGCTTGGTGAGCTGGGGGAAAGGAGATTCAGGCTTGTGAATTCAACTGACCAAGTCCACTAGTTGGGTATTGGCATCTGCTAGGTATAGATCATGGCATATAGCTGTATCCAGGACACTGAGAAAATCTGATTTCCTTGAGTTGGGGATGTATTTATAGGTTTGCTTTCGAACTCAAGCAGTGACCTGTTTCAGTCTTGCATCAGGTCGTGGGTTAGGTGCTGAATTTTCTTCTGTTCTCTCTCTCTCTCATGCAAGGTCTCCTGTATGTGACTGTGTTGTGGTAGGCTGTTCCAACTGGCAGAAAGCTTGGGGTGTTTATTTTTCTTTTTTATTATACTCTGTATTAAAACAGCACAGTTTGGGTTTGGACAAGCATTAGAGGTGAGCAGAGATCCACGGGCTTGCTGTGCCCTGGCATTTGGGCTGCAGTCCTGGTGTGTGACCTGTGCCCAGACATGCCTTTCTCATGTGATCCTCCCCGTCAGGAGGCCTTGTGTGCTGGCAAGCACAATAACTCAACATATTTTCTTCCTCAAAAGAGCTATGCTTGGGATAATCTGGTATTATCCCTATTTGGCAGAAAAGAAACTGTGGATGTAAAGGGGCCAGCTGCTCTGCTGGGGGGCTGTGCTAGGACGCAGAAGATTCAGAAGGTTGATTTCCACACTCCCTGTCTTCTGTTGATGCTCTGGTGGTGTCCTCTTGGACAACAGAGTAGCTGTGTAGGTGAAGGGCTGGTCTCTGACCAAGAGCTCACAGAAAAAGCTCTCTCCTACCCTAAGGTGCTTGGATATAACCCGAAGGTGACAAAGGATATTTAAATACCTAGATCGATGCTTCACTGTTACAGTGAGGAGACTTATTTTAACTCTGAAACTCCATTATTCTTTGTTTAAAAGATAAATAATACTGTCATTGTCAGGCTAGATGTTCCCCTTTGTCAGCATTTCGTGGCTCACTTTCTGGATTTAGATAGATTGATGAGAGCTGTTTAATATTCTAGCCTCAATAACTAGTGATTTGAGAGTTGCCAGCTCTCATGATGGTTGCTGCTTTTCTTGAGGCATCAGCTTCTTGATGTATGTTAGCCACACAAGAATCCTAGCTCTCCTTTTCTTTCTTTTAAAGGCATGTACCTAATAGACTTGCTGAAGTCTATCAAAGAAAAACAATCATCATTTTGTTAGTATATTTCTTGGAAGCCTAGGATATTTTCCTTTGTTTAAGCTATGTATGCATCATTACGGCTCTGCTTTTGAACATGAGCTTGCCTTGCTCTGCGAGTTTAGCTTCCTATTTTGCAGCTTCACAGCCATGCTATAACACTTGGTGTTGCCCTGAACCTCACCATCAGTCAAGAGGCTGTAATAGACTTAATGGTACTGGTGTAGCCATTTAAATTAAGAAGGTACTCCATATTCAAATTGTTTGTTATTAGCTCCTTTTAAAGTACTAATTTAAAGTAGTAATTTGAAGACTAATTTAAAGGCTTGAAGGTCTTTTCCAGCCATAATGATTCTATGATTCTATATTCAATTATCTATCTATGATTCACACAGGCACTTTAACAGTCCCTCGTGCTTGTACTCGCAGCGGGGTACGTGCTGCTTCCCCCTGCTCCTGGATCTGCTTTCTGTGGCCTTTTGCCTTGCTCTGTGCTCGGCTCCCGTGAGCGTCGGCCGCCTGCGCTGCTGCCATCCCTTCGGTGTGATCCCTTGGGCTGTGCCTGAGATCGGGGCTGTGTCACGAAGCTGGTCGTGGCCTCTGCAGTTTTGGGGAGTCTGTGTTTTGCTGTTGTTTTGTTTTGGATGTTCTGTGTGTTTGTGTTGCTGATAAAAGTGTAGCTTATCTGGGAACTTTCAGTTGACCCCAAGTTCATGAACACTCAGGGATTTTACACTGTACATAAATAAAAAGGAAAACATTATTCTTGTGGTCATTTTCTGCCAGTTCTGTTACTTTGGTGATATCTTTGGAGGTGAAACAAACTCTGACTACGTAAGTGTTTGTGTATCAACAACATCAAACAGTGGTGTGTGTGGGTGTTTTGTTTTTTTGTGTGTGTTTTTAGCATGGTTTCTTTATCAAACAGTGGTGTGTGTGGGTGTTTTTAGCATGGTTTCTTCTTTTCATGTGTTCATATAACTGAACAAGCATAAGAATGATAATAGTTACCGGCATGCTAGAGAAGAGATGCACTTAATTCTGTTTGATAGGCCCTGGGGTGGTTTGCCTAGATAGCGTCAGCGTGTACGAGCATTATTTGCAATGTAATAAGTGTTGTTGATTCGAGGGAGTTCCTGTACTTCTGGAATTGA